TAGAGACGGGGTTTCACCGTGTCAGCCAGGATGGTCTCGATCTCCTGACCTTGTGATCCGCCCGCCTCGGCCTCCCAAAGTGCTGGGATTACAGGCTTGAGCCACCGCGCCCGGCCCTGAGTAATTTTTTAATAAAAGTAATATAAGCTTGTCAGAAAACATTCAAACAATAATTGTGACTGTAGAAATAAAGGTGAGACCCTTCCCTTCCTTCCCTTCCTAATCTTCCTAAACATTTTCTGTACATTTTTAAAAAACAATTAAATTGATTTTTTCCCAACATCATTCTTCTGAGACTTACTTTTGTAATTTGACATATTTTCAGTCTATTTCTTTTTTTTTTTTTTTGAGACACGGTCCCTAGGCTAGGGTGCAGTGTGTGATCATAGCTCACTGTAACCTTGAATTCCTGGGCTCATGGGATCTTTTTGCCCCAGCTTCCCGAGTGGCTGGGACTACAGGTGCATACCACCGTACCCAAATAATTAAAAAATAAGTAGAAACAGGTCCTCACTATGTTGCCCAGGCTGGTCTCAAACTCTTGGGCTCAGGCTCAAGCAATCCTCCCACCTCAGCCTCCCAAAGTCCTGGGATTACAGGCATGTGCCATCACCCCTGGCCTCTTGCTGTTTTAATTTATGTTCTTCTGCATACTAATGAGTTGAAATATCTTTTGTTAGTTTATTGGCCATTTATTTTTATTTTGTGTATCACCTATTTATATATATTTCCCTTTTTTATTGGATTGTTTTTATAGCTTTGTAGGAGCCCTTTATACATTTTAGATATTATTAACCTTTGTTGAGATGTTTTAAATATTTTCTCTCAGTCCTTATTGTTTAACATTCGATATCTTTCATGCCAACAAACCTTTTAAATTTTTTATATAGCAAAATCAGCCTTTCTGGCTTTTATGTTTTATGCTTGCCTTGAGAAGTCTTTCCTACCCTAACCTGATAAAATATATTTAGGTTTTCTACCTTATTTTTTACATTTAGGTGTTTAATTGAATCGCTACTCCATTTTGTATATGGTGTGAGGCAGAGATCTAACTTAATTTTTTTTCCAGATGGTTCTTATTCATTGGTATTAGCCCGTACAAAGAGCCCATTGCACTTACAGAGGTTGGCAGAGCACATGGCTAATGTAACTTACTCAAGGTCACAGAGCAGATTCTCATAAGGATTAGGACTAAATTATGTCATTAGCTGATCTGTGCCACTTTCCTTATCTCCCCATTTAACATTTTGACCATAGGTTCCCAAAACCTTAAAAAATTATATTCTGTGATGTTTATTTCAGTAGAACTAAGTTCTATTAAGAGGCAGATTAGGTAGCTGTATATGTAGAAAGCTCTTGAAAAATAATTGACTTCTGATATTGAGAAATATCTGTGCTAAACTGTTAATATTCTTGATCGGTTGTGCTGAATTCTGGTATTTGTATGTGAATAAGATTTATAATGTATATAGGTATAAACACTTTATGTGTATTGTTTCAATGGGTTTTTTTTTACTATTAGTCTATCTAATGTAATCATTTTTCTGAGAATATTGTCTTTGAGAGTTATTTTAGCAAATCAGACAAGCAAAGTTTATTGCCTTATAATTACTACATTAAAATTACACAGCTTTAATTGCATGACGTGTTTACTGCAGGAGTAAATATTAAAACTATGGCAGCTTTTTAAAAAGCAGCTGAGCAGGTACTTGCTCATAGATTGCGTTTGACCATGCTTATTGAGCAGTCATCAGAGAGGAAATGCAGACAGGTTTTTGATTTGGTTTTATTTATATTTATGATGGTCTAAAGGTTTGTGGGAAGATCATTTGTTGTAATTTTGAAGCCAAATACCAATTTTTATTTTTATTTTTGTTTTTATCATTTTTGAGATGGAGTTTCGCTCTTGTTGCCCAAACTGGAGTGCAGTGGCGTGATCTTGGCTCACTGCAACTCTGCCTCCCAGGTTCAAGCGATTCTCCTGCCCCAGCCTCCTAAGTAGCTGGGATTACAGGCGCATGCCACCACGCCCAGCTAATTTTTTGTATTTTTAGTAGAAATGGGTTTTCACCATGTTAGCCAGGCTGGTCTTGAACTCCTGACCTCAGGTGATGTGCCTGCCTCGGCCTCCCGAAGTGCTGGGATTACAGGCGTGAGCCACTGTGCCTGGCCATCAATTTTGATGTAGTTGTAAATTTGGCTTCTTTCATTCTTTTGATTTTTTCCCAATATAACTTACAATCTTTAAATCTAAGCTTTCAATCTTTATGTTGAAATTGACTCGGGGCTGGGTGCGGTGGCTCACACCTGTAATCCCAGCACTTTGGGAGGCCGAGGTGGGTGGATCACAAGGTCAGGAGATAGAGACCATCCTGGCTAACATGGTGAAACACTGTCTCTGCTAAAAATGAAAAAAAGTTGCCGGGCATGGTGGCGGGCACCTGTAGTGCCAGCCACTAGGGAGGCTGAGGCAGGAGAATGCCATGAACCCAGGAGGCAGAGCTTGCAGTGAGCCAAGATCGTGCCACTGCCAGCCTGGGCAACAGAGTGAGACTTCCATCTCGAAGAAAAAGAAATTGACTCAAATTCTCAAAAGATACTTATCGTTAATATACTAAAATTACTGAATTTTTCTAGCAAATTTTTGTTTATTCAATGTTCTCCATTCTTTTGGTTCATTTTATGAAAGGCAATTTTTAAAAACAAATTTCTCACGGTAGAATATTGAAGAGATATTTGCACAGAATAGTCAAGAGGTGGGAGCAAGCCAGATATCTGTCAACAGATGAATGGATAAACAAAATTTGGCATATACATACAAGGGAATATTATGCAGCCTCAAAAAAGAAAATTCTGCCATGTGTTGCAGTATAGATGAATCTTGAGGACATCATAAGCAAAATAAGCCAATTACAAAAGGACAAAATACTGTATGATTTTACTCATATAAAGTATCTAAAGTAGTCAAAATCATGGAAACAGAAAGTAGAAAGGTGATTGCTAAAGACTGAGGTAGGGGGAAGGTAATGTTTAATGGGAATAGAGCTTCAATTTTGCAAGATGAAGTTTCTGGAGATCTGCTGCACAGCAGTGTGATTATACTTTACAGTGCTGGACTGTATGCTTAAAAACGGTTAAGATGATACATTTTTATGGGTTTTTTAAATGACAGTTTAAAAAAATTAACAGTGAAATTGAAATGTACTTTTAAACTACAGCCTGGATTTCAAAGACTTAGTTCCCCCTCACCACAAAAAATAATTGCAAAATGATTAACTTTTATATTGATTTTATGTTGGAATGACAATCTTTTGTATATGTTTTGCTAAATAAAACTTTATTAGAAGTTTTAAAAAATCTTATTTCGGCTGAGCGCGGTGGCTCATGCCTGTAATCCCAGCACTTTGGGAGGCCGAGGCGGGCAGATCACAAGGTCAAGAGGTTGAGATCATCCTGGCCAACATGGTGAAATCCCATCTCTACTAAAAATACAAAAATTAGCTGGGCGTAGTGGTGCGGGCCTGTAGTCCCAGCTACTTGAGAGGCTGAGGCAGGAGAATCGCTTGAACCCGGGAGGAGGAGGTTGCATGAACTGAGATTGTGCCACTGCACTCCAGCCTAGTGACAGTGAGAGACTCTGTCTCAGAAAAAAAAAAAAAAAAAAATTATTTCAGGATTCATTTTATAGACAGTATCTGCTTTTTAGGGATTATTGATAGAATATTTAGAATTGACAGAAATTGTATCAATACGTATATTTTTATATTTCTGCTTCCTTAGGGTGCCATCTTTTTTTACTTTGCTCTCTTAAGGGAGAACTATTTCAGAGGTTACATAGGAGACCTGTAAGGAAATGGAATTATTGAAGACAGTTGTGTTTGTTTGTTTTTTATTCTGTTTTGTTTTTGAGATGGAGTCTCACTCTGTTGCCTAGGCTGGAGTGCAGTGGTGTGATCTCAGCTCACTGCAACCTTACCAGGTTCAAGCGATTCTCCTGCCTCAGCCTCCCAAGTAGCTGGGACTACAGGCGCCTGCCACCACGCCTGGCTAATTTTTGTATTTTTAGTAGAGATGGGGTTTCACCGTGCTGGCCAAGCTGGTCTCGAACTCCTGACCTCAAGTGATCCACCCGCCTCGGCCTCCCAAAGTGTTGGGATTACAGGTGTGAGCGACAGCGCCCAGCCCTGAAGACAGTTTTATATCGATGATTCAGAGAGAAAGAAGAATGTAATTTATGGAGTTAGCACCGCTCTCCATACTCCAGTGTGGTGTGGTTCGATGTGGCTTTGTGCTCCAGGTGCTGTTTTTTAAGTTTCTTTTTTTCTTTTCTTTTTTTTTTTTTTTGAGACGGAGTCTCGCTCAGTTGCCCAGGCTGGAGTGCAGTGGCCGGATCTCAGCTCACTGCAAGCTCCGCCCCCCGGGTTCACGCCCTTCTCCTGCCTCAGCCTCCCGAGTAGCTGGGACTGAGGTGCCCCACACCTCGCCCTGCTAATTTTTTGCATTTTTAGTAGAGACGGGGTTTCACCGTGTTAGCCAGGATGGTCTTGATCTCCTGACCTCGTGATCCACCCGCCTCGGCCTCCCAAAGTGCTGGGATTACAGGCGTGAGCCACCGCGCCCGGCCTTTTAAGTTTCTTAACTCTGTCATCTTGATTAAATTATTTTCTTCCTAATTACATTCTTCCCAATTTAAGTGTCTAGTTATAAAAGGCCCTTTTGGCCGGGCGTGGTGGCTCAAGCCTGTAATCCCAGCACTTTGGAAGGCCGAGATGGGCAGATCACAAGGTCAGGAGATCGAGACATCCTGGCTAACCTGGTGAAACCCCATCTCTACTAAAAAATAAAAATAAAAAAATAGCCGGGCCAGGTGGCGGGTGCCTGTAGTCCCAGCTACTCGGGAGGCTGAGGCAGGAGAATGGCGTGAACCCAGGAGGCGGAGCTTGCAGTGAGCCGAGATCCAGCCACTACACTCCAGCCTGGGCAACAGAGCGAGACTCCGTCTCAAAAAAATAAATAAATAAAATAAAATAAATAAAAGGCCCTTTTAATTTTTCTGAATTTTACTTATTATAGATCTTTCTTAAGTCCTAATAATTTGTCCTCCCCTTATCTCTGTTTCTGCTGACACTCCAACTCCCTAACTTACAGCTCTATCTTTTAAACTTTTAAAAGTTGTACTTGTAGCACAAGATAAATCTCCATCGTAAGGATTCCTTTTATTAGTATATTTCTTGTTTCATATTTAACTACCCAATTAGGCACTACACTTTTTGGGAACCATTCTTTTGGGTGTTTATTTAAAAACATTGGGCAGCTCTATAGCATTTCCTAAACACAGGGAAAAGTAAAAATTTTCCAAAATCATGAATTTTATAGATAATCGTCTTCAGAACACAAATATTGGTATTTGGCCATAGGAAAGTTGTTGTTGTTGACGTTTTAATTTTGTGTATTATACCATAAGGTTTTCTACAGTTTTTTCCCCCTTTAAACCATTACAATATGTACATGTTGAAATTAATTTATTAAGAAGTAGCAAGTTGAACTCTCTGTAAACTCGATCATTATTACAAAGTAGTAAGCTAGAGATCAGAAGAATAGTTGACTTTTCTGTATAATCTTGAACAGCTTTTGGGGGAATGAGGAAATGAGTTTTCTTTTCAAGTTAATTGGTATTTTGAAAACGCCACAAAGAGGTTCAGTAGATGATAGTTTATACTCATGGAATTTTTGCTGGTGGGAGTTTTTGTAAAGCCATCAACATTTTGTGCTAGATCTTTGGGGAACTTTCAGTTGCTAATAAATTTTGTAATTTGCATTGAAGTTACTTTAAAAAAATTATCTAACAACATCTTTTTTTCCCCAGAACTGTCAGAATTATAATACATTCTGAATTCTATTTTGTGAGGTCTTTCTTGGATGCCTGGACCATGGATTAATTACAGTAAGAGTAACTTCAAGGCCGGGTGCGGTGGCTCACGCCTGTAATCTCAGCACTTTGGGAGGGAAGAGGTGGGAGGATTGCTTGAGCTCGGGAATTAGAGAACAGCCTGGGCAACATGGCCAAACCTCATCTCTACAAAAAATGGAAAAATTAGCTGAGCGTGTTGTTGTGTGCCGGTAGTTCCAGCTCCTCAAGATCACTTGAGCCTGAGAGGTAGTGGTAGCAGTGAGCCAAGATCGCAGCACTGCGCTCCATCCTGGGTGACAGAACAAGACCCTGTCTCAAAAAAAAAAAAAAAAACGGTAATTTTAATAGATGACAGAATGAGACCCTGTTTCAAAACATAAGGCCAGGCGGGCGGGCGCGGTGACTCACGCCGGTAATCCCAGCACTTTGGGAGGCCGAGGCGGGCGGATCACAAGGTCAGGAGATCAAGACCACGGTGAAACCCCATCTCTACTAAAAATAGAAAAAAATAGCCGGCGAGGTGGCGGGCGCCTGTAGTCCCAGCTACTCAGGAGGCTGAGGCAGGAGAATGGCGTGATTCCGGGAGGCGGAGCTTGCAGTGAGCCGAGATCGCGCCACTGCCCTCCAGCCAGCGGGACAGAGCAAGACTCTGTCTCAAAAAAAAAAAAAAAAAAAAAGGCCAGGCATGGTGGCTCACGCCTGTAATCCCAGCACTTTGGGGGGCTCAGGCGGGTGGATCACCTGAGATCGAGAGTTCGAGACCTGGCCAACATGGAGAAACCTGTCTCTACTAAAAATACAAAACTAGCCGGGCATGGTGGCTCATGCCTGTAATCCCAGCTACTCGGGAGGCTGAGGGAGGAGAATCGCTTGAACCCAGGAGGCAGAGGCTGTGGTGAGCCAAGATGGCGCCACTGCACTCCAGCCTGGGCAATAAGAGCGAGACTCTGTCTCAAAAAAAAAAAAAAAAAAAAAAAGGAAGAAAGAAAGAGAAAAGAAAAAAAAGTGCAAGGCCGGGCGCGGTGGCTCAAGCCTGTAATCCCAGCACTTTGGGAGGCCGAGACCGGCGGATCACGAGGTCAGGAGATGGAGACCATCCTGGCTAATACGGTGAAACCCCGTCTCTACTAAAAAATATTTAAAAAACTAGCCGGGCGTGATGGCAGGCGCCTGTAGTCCCAGCTACTCAGGAGGCTGAGGCAGGAGAATGGCGTGAACCCGGGAGGCGGAGCTTGCAGTGAGCCGAGATCACGCCACTGCCCTCCAGCCAGCGGGACAGAGCGAGACTCCGTCTCAAAAAAAAAAAAAAAAAAAAAAAGGCCAGGCATGGTGGCTCACGCCTGTAATCCCAGCACTTTGGGGGGCTCAGGCGGGTGGATCACCTGAGATCGGGAGTTCGAGACCTGGCCAACATGGAGAAACCTGTCTCTACTAAAGATACAAAACTAGCCTGGCATGGTGGCTCATGCCTGTAATCCCAGCTACTCGGGAGGCTGAGAGAGGAGAATCGCTTGAACCCAGGAGGCAGAGGCTGTGGTGAGCCAAGATGGCGCCACTGCACTCCAGCCTGGGCAATAAGAGCGAGACTCTGTCTCCAAAAAAAAAAAAAAAAAAAAAAGAAAGAAAGAAAGAAAGAGAAAAGAAAAGAAAAGGGAGGCCGGGTGCAGTGGCTCAAGCCTGTAATCCCAGCACTTTGGGAGGCCGAGACGGGTGGATCACGAGGTCAGGAGATGGAGACCATCCTAGCTAATACGGTGAAACCCCGTCTCTACTAAAAAATATTTTAAAAAACTAGCCGGGCGTGATGGCGGGCGCCTGTAGTCCCAGCTACTCAGGAGGCTGAGGCAGGAGAATGGCGTGAACCCGGGAGGCGGAGCTTGCAGTGAGCTGAGATCCAGCCACTGCACTCCAGCCCGGGCGACAGAGCAAGACTCCGTCTCAAAAAAAAAAAAAAAAGAAAGAGAAAAGGGTAACTTTAATAGATATGTGTTTCACAATTTTATTTATTTATTGTATTTTATTTCATAAATAAGAGGAGAGGGGAGGCTCAAGGCAGAAAAGATCGGGTTAAAGCTTTATGCTAGATCTTTGGCTCCATGAGGATGGATTTCTGTTGTCTTGGTCACTGCCTAGAGAAGTGCCTGGCACAAAAAGCATCTATAAATATATGTTGAATGAATAAGTTCCCATGGACTGTTAACAATCCCTCTTCTACACACACTTTGAAATCTGAGGTGGTGGTATTAAAAAGCCTAATTCCAGAATATTTTAGCTGTTATCAGCAGAAGAAAAGTACATTGAAGCATTTTGGGAGGCCCAGGCAGGTGGATCACTTGAGGTCAGGAGTTCAAGACTAGCCTGACTAGCATGGTGAAACCCCATCTCTACTACAAAAATTAGCTAGGTGTGGTGGTGGGCTCCTGTAATCCCAGCTACTCAGGAGGCTGAGGCAGGAGAATCACTTGAACCTGGGAGGCAGAGGTTGCAGTAAGCAAAGACCACAGCACTGCAGTCTAGCCTGGGCGACAGATTGAGACTCTGCCTTAAAAAAAAAAAAAAAAAAGGGTTGCTGGGCGTGGTGGCTCAAGCCTGTAATCCCAGCACTTTGGGAGGCTGAGACAGGCGGATCACGAGGTCAGGAGATCGAGACCATCCTGGCTAACACGGTGAAACCCTGTCTCTACTAAAAAATACAAAAAACTAGCCGGGCGAGGTGGCAGGCGCCTGTAGTCCCAGCTACTTGGGAGGCTGAGGCAGGAGAATGGCGTAAACCCAGGAGGCGGAGCTTGCAGTGAGCTGAGATCCAGCCACTGCACTCCAGCCTGGGCGACAGAGCAAGACTCCGTCTCAAAAAAAAAAAAAAAAAAAAAAAAAAAGGCATTGTTAACATTGTTACACCTTTTTCTTTTTAAATTATTATTATTATTTTTTTTTGGCCAGGCATGGGGGCTCATGCCTGTAACCCCAGCACTTTGGGAGGCAGAGGCAGGCAGATCACCTGAGGTTGGGAGTCCAAGACCAGCCTGACCAACATGGAGAAACCCTGTCTCTACTACAAATACAAAATTAGCTGGGCATGGTGGCACATGCCTGTAATCCCAGCTACTAGGGAGACTGAGACAGGAGAATCACTTGAACCTGGAAGGCGGAGGTTGTCATGAGCTGAGATCACGCCATTGCACTCCAGCCTGATCAACAACAGCGAAACTGTCTCAAGAGCGAAACTGTCCATTTCCTGAAATGGAATCTCACTCTACCCAGGCTGGAGTGCAGTGACACGATCTTGGCTCACTCACTGCAACTTCCGCCTCCCAGGTTCAAGCTGTTCTCTTGCCTCAGCCTCCCAAGTAGCTGAGATTACAGATGCCCACCACCACACCTGGCTAATTTTTGTATTTTTAGTAGAGACAGGGTTTCAGCATGTTGGCCAGGCTGGTCTCAAACTCCTGACCTCAGATGATCTGTCCACCTCAGCCTCTCAAAGTGCTGGGATTACAGGTGTGAGTCACTGCACCCACCCCACCCACCTTTTTTTTTTTTTTTTGAGACAGGGTCTCACTTTGTCACCCAAGCAGTGCAGTGGTGCAATCTGGGCTCACTGCAGCCTCAACCAAAAAAAATTGTTTTTGAGACAGGGTCTCTCACTGTCACCCAGGTTGGAGTACAGTGGCATGGTCATGGCTTATTGCAGCCTCCACCTCCTAGACTCAAGCAATCCTCCCACGTTAGCCTCCGGAGTAGCTAGTACTACAGGCACACACAACCATGCCTGGCTAATTTTTTTTTGTTTTTAGTAGAAACAAGGCCTGACTATGTTGCCAGGCTGGTCTTGAATTCCTGGGCTCAAGCAGTCCTCCCACCTCAACCTCCCAAAGTGCTTGTATTACAGGCATGAGCCACCATGCCGTCATCAACTTTAGATTCAGTCTTTTCTTGAATATGTTCCAACAGACCTGATTTTATCACTGTTCTCCTTAAGCATCCTACTTATAGGCCAGTGTATTAGTCCGTTCTCATGCTGCTAATAAAGAACTTCCTGGCTGGGCGCAGTGGCTCACGCTTGTAATCCCAGCACTTTGGGAGGCCGAGGCAGGTGGATCACTAGTTCAGAAGATCGAGACCATCCTGGCTAACACGATGAAACCCCGTCTCTACTAAAAACCAAAAAATTATCCGGGTGCGGTGGCAGGTGCCTGTAGTCCCAACTACTCGGGAGGCTGAGGCAGGAGACTGGCGTGAACCTGGGAGGCAGAGCTTGCAATGAGCCAAGATCGCACCACTGCATTCCAGCCTGGGTGACAGAGCGAGACTCCGTCTCAAAAATCAATCAATCAATAAATAAAATAAAGAACTTCCTGAGACTGCGTAATTTATAAAGGAAAGAGGTTTAATTGATTCACACATCCACATGGCTGGGGAGGCCTCAGGAAACTTCCAGCCATGGCGTAAGGGAAAGCAAACATGTCCTTCTTCATTTGGCAGCAGAAAGGAGAAGTGCTGAGCAATGGGGGAAAAGCCTGTTCTATAACCATCACATCTCGTGAGAACTCACTATCACAAGAACAGCAGGAGGGTAACCACCCCCCATGATTCAGTTACCTCCCACTGGGTCCCTCCCACAACACATGGGGATTATAGGAACTACAAGATGAGATTTGGGTGGGGACACAGCCAAACTGTATCAGCCAGTTATCAGTTATTGTTTGTTTGTTTGTTTGTTTGTTTTCTTTCAGAAAATGCCTTTCCAACCAAGCCTGAACCTTTTCTTTGCTTCCAAGGGCCTCCCTAAGATGCTATTAGCCTATCTATGCATATTTTCAAAGGAACTTCTGCTCCTGCCAGGGGCCCTCCTGAACGTCTTCCACGCAAGTCTGGTTTCCTTCTGCCTTACATGCCTCTGGGCAGGCAAAGAAATCCTTCTTTCTGACTAGCTGCAAATCCGACTTTTGTGGGAATACTCTTTAAGAAAAAGCAAATTAATTTCAAAGACAAAACTAGGTTCAAAAGTGAATATTTACAAAGAGGAGATAAATCACAAAAATGGCAACTTAAAAAAATTAAATACCAAAAATTCAGAAAAACAATGTAATATTTGTATTAATTGGTTGCCTAATACATGGCTGTGAAACATTTTCACCTACATTTTTTGGCTGTGCTATACTCTTTGATCATCCCTCCCTATTCTGTGATATTTTCTAAAAAGAGAATAGGTAAATAATTCAGTGCTTCTTATAGCATGGTTTACCAAAATGTGTTTTTTTGTGATTAATTAGATAAGTTCCATTCAGCCTCACAACTGGTTACTGGTAACATTATATAAATTTGTAAAATTGTTGGCAGGGCACGGTGGCTCATGCCTGTAATCCCAGCACTCTGGGAGGCCGAAGTGGGCAGATCACAAGGTCAGGAGTTTGAGACCAGCCTGGCCAACATGATAAAACCCTGTCTCTACTAAAAATCCAAAAATTAGCTGAGCGTGGTAGCACACATATGTAATCCCAGCTACTCAGGAGGCTAAGGCAGGAGAATCGCTTGAACCAGGGAGGTGGAGGATGTAGTGAGCTGAGGTCGTGTCACCACACTCCAGCCTGGGCAACAGAGTAAGACTTTGTCACCAAAAAAAATAAATAAATTGTTAGCAATTTTGGGAAAACCTCTATTGAGTATCTTTTATATATGCACTATGAAATTGCCGGGCTTCACTGTTTCTTGTACATTGGCTAATCTGAAATAGCCTTTGAATTGACATATGTATATCACAACATAATTTGGCCCTGCATATTTCTGTCGTGATACAGAGTGAGTTCACCTATTAACAGCTCTTTGTACATTGATGGTTAACATTATCTCAGCCATACACAGGTTCATGAAAGCCACATACATTTAGTTTATTCCATTGAACCCCAAACAAAGGTATCTTCAACTTAAGGTCTCCTTAGGGGATCTCCAGAATGGCTGAAGTCACTGTTAAGTCCACTGACACAAAGGGAACCATACTGGCAAGAAAGCTGGTATGGAAGGACAAATACTATTAATATATAATTCCATTTATCCAAGGTACTTAGAGCAGTCAGTTTAGAGACAGAAAGTAGAATGGTGGTTGCCAGGGGCTGAGGGAAGGGGTAAAAATGAAGTTGTTGTTTAATGTGTACAGAATTTCAGATTTGCAAGATGTAAAAGTTTTGGAGATCTGTTGCACAGCAGAGTGAATATACATAACGCTACTGAACTATACACTTAAAAATGGTTAAGATGATCGATTTTATGTGTTTTTTTTTTTTTTTTTTACCACAGTAAAAATTTTTGGGCCACGTGCCATGGCTCAATCCCAGCACTTTGGGAGGCCAAGGTGGGAGGGTTGTTTGAGCTCAAAATTCGAGACCAGCATGGGCAACATGGTGAGATCCCCATTGCTACCAAAAAAAAAAAAAAAAGCTCGTCATGGTGGTGGATGCCTGTAGTCCTAGCTACTTGGGAGGCTGAGTTTGAGACAGGAGGACTGCTTGAACCTGGCAGTTTGAGGCTGTAGTGAGCCATGATTGTGCCACTGCCCTCTAGCCAGGGCAACAGAGCGAGACCTTGTCTCCAAAAACAAAAAACAGTAACCAAAAAATAAGGGATAATTGGGCACTTTGTTAGGATCCCTCCTAGAGCTTTAGGAGGAGCCCATGAAATTGAGGGGCCTGCAGCTTAAATTAGCTTCAGAGCAAAGCAAATCTGTTTCAACCATTCTGGTCCTACCTATCTGCTGACACCCAACTGATCTAAGCTGTAGTGCCTCCATTTTCAAACTCATCTCTCTTAGAGCACAACCATGCAGTTAATAATTTTATCTTACACTTTTTTGTTGACTGCCTCATGCATATGTCTTATCTTTGAACTGTAGGATACGTGTTGTCTTCCTTTACAGCCTAAAAGTACCTAGGCTCATAGTATTCATCCATTCATTCCTTTGCTTATTTGTACATTCATTCAGCAATATTAATTGAATTTCTCTTCTGCGCTAGACCCAGAAATAAAAGCTACATACCCTGCCCTCTTAAGGTTCATTGTTTAGAGGGGGAAACGCCAAGTAAGTGGTTAACCATTATAGGCTATGAAGGTGCTGCTTTGGAGGTATGTACGAGGTGCCTTGGAACACAGATGGGAGTACTGGACTCAGCCTGGAGTGTCAAGAAAGGCTTCCTCCAAATGCAGATTTAACTTTTGAGGTTCGATTCTAAGGAATTTGAGAAAAACTGTTCCCTAAAAGGCCTGCTAGCATTCTAACTTAAATAGAACATTCTATTTTGTAACTGAATCCAGAGATTGTTGGATTTAGGTTGCATTGGAGATCTAACATAGTTTTGGCTATTATTTCTATCTTCTGACTTTGTTGGGAGTAAGAATAGCAGAAATGCTTAGCTCTCCCATTGACATTTTTTCTTGTCAGCCTACTTCCTTGTCATGGTTTGGTAGTACCGAAGTTGGTAAAACTTGGAAAAGCCTTTGCCTTTCCTAGGTTCTCTACATGGCAAACTCCTACTCATTCTTTGAGACTCAGTTCAAACTCTCACCTCCTTCCCTGTGAAATCTTTTCTTATTCTCCCAGCAGTTACCCTTTTTATTGCCACAGCACAGCCATGTTATATCTCTATTTATACTTTCATTATGATACCTTGCTATATTTTAATTATGGATTAAAATGCTTCTCTGTCCTTTGAAGTGTTATTAATCATTTTTGTATGCCCCTGGTCTAGTCCTAGCATACAAATAAGGATTGTTGTGCCACAAATAAGGATTGTTGACTTTGTGAATGAATGGTGAGTCCAGAGTTTGGAGTCTTCTTTTTTTTTTTTTTTTTTGGAGACGGAGTCTTGCTGTGTCGCCAGGCTGAAGTGCAGTGGCGCAATCCCGGGTTACTGCAGTCTGCCTCCCGGGTTCAAGCTATTCTCCTCCCTCAGCCTCCCGAGTAGTTGGGATTACAGGCACGTACCACCACACCCAACTAATTTTTGTATTTTTAGTAGAGATGAGGTTTCACCATGTTAGCCAGGATGGTCTCGATCTCCTGACCTCATGATCCACCCACCTTGGCCTCCCAAAGTGCTGGGATCACAGGCGTGAGCCACCACACCCAGCCTGGAGTCTTATTTTTGAATGAATTGATTGGCCTTATGATAGTTCATGGTCACAAGATTACATACTTAACAAGTACCAATTATCTTACAGTAGAATCACTTCTACCTTCAAAATATACTGCGTACTTACATACTTTTCTCCACCTCCACTGCCCAGCTGGCTCTGTCTACCCACCCTCTCTCACCTAGACGACCACGGTGGCTTTCCGACTTCTCTTCCTGCTTCTCTTGATCTTTGGTAGTATATTCTCCATACAGAAACCAGGAAGAGCTTCTAGAAACACAAATCTGATTGTGTCTCTACCAAAGTGGTTTTAAGACCTCCAAAGGTCCTTAGCATACTCATATTAGGAGGTTTTGAAGTCTTCATCCCATGTTTATAGGAAAAATTAAAAGGTACTCACAACCATATTAAATATGTAGACATATTCCATATTAAATATGTGCATTTATCTATTTTTTTTTTTTTTGCTGTCACATTTTAAAAGAATTTTTCATAATTCTGCTTCTGAAATTCTTTGGCTACAAGTAACTAATTTAATTCATAAGTATCTCAGACTTCTAGGCTGGGCGCAGTGGCTCACGCCTATAATCCCAGCACTTTGGGAGGCCAAGGCGGGTGGATCATGAGGTCAGGAGATCGAGACCATCCTGGCTAACACAGTGAAACCCTGTCTCTACTAAAAATACAAAAAATTAGCCGGGCGTGGTTGTGGGCGCCTGTAGTCCCAGCTACTTGGGAGGCTGAGGCAGGAAAATGGCGTGAACCTGGGAGGCGGAGCTTGCAGTGAGCAAAAATGGCATCACTGCACTCCAGCCTGGGCTACAGAGCCAGACTCTGTCTCAAAAACAAAAAAAAAAAAAAAAAAACTCAGACTTCTTAACAGGTAACATATTTAGGGGCTGGGCATGGTGACTTAGGCCTATAATCCCAGCACTTTGGGAGTTCGAGGCAGGAGGATTGCTTGAGCCCAGGAGTTGGAGATCAGCCTGAGCAACATGGTGAAACCCTGTCTACAAAAAATTGAAAAAGTAGCTGTGCATGGTGGCACACACCTCTGATCTCAGCTACTTGGGAGGCTGAGGCAAGAGAATCACTTGAGCCCAAAAGGTTGAAGCTGTGGTGAGCCATGTTTGTGTTACTACATTCTAGCCTGGGCAACACGGCAGACCCTATCTCAAGGGGGTAAAAAAAAATATATATATATATATTCCTATACATACATAAACATACATGTATATGTGTTATATAAAATGTTCATCACATTTGAAAACTGTTTGGGTGAGGGGGAAGGGACAAGATGGAGGAAGGTGAACAAGATGGAGCAGTCCCTGTTGTTTCCGGGTTCTTCATCACAGATTTTCCCGCGCCCGGGAAAAATTCCCGCGCCCGGGAAAAGAACCACATCAACTGAGCATGCGCAGAGTGACGTCAAGCCGAGGACACCGAAATTCAAGAAGCCACTCCTACACACACGCCCCAAACTCCTCCCCCTCCAGCTCCCAGGCATAAAAGTCTGCTGCCGGTAAGCACCGGTGTGACTTCCTCGGCACATTCGTGGACCGGGGAACCTCACCCTAGAGCGCTGGCGGGACTTCCCTGGCCCCCCACACCTGAGGACCAGAGAACTTCGCCTGAGAGTGTGTGCATATTTGCAATAAAAGACTGCTGCTTTCTTATGTACTTTGGCTTCATGTTTAATTATTTAGCTCTCCTAAATTAAATTAAATGAAACAAAACAAAAACAATTCTCACTTTGCAAAAATTCCTATGCATACATATATATAAACAAAAATATACATATATACTTATATATGACATATACACCTGTATATGTATATATACATCTACACCTATGTGTATATATACATATATATACCTATATGTATGTTTATATGTATGTATGTATAGGAATTTTTGCAAAGTAAGAATTGTTTTCGAATGTGATGAACATTTTGTA